TATTTCTGCTTTTATATCTGACTTAGTATAAATCTGGGAAGTCTCCCTTTCTAAAGAAAGTGCTGCCCAAATTTCTACTAATTCAGAGAGTTAGATAAAATTTGACTTTCCAAGAGTTAGAGATTATTTCGGCTCCCATATCTGGGCTTATAAAAATTATGAAAAGACACTTTTCCTACAGGAAGCGCTGCCAAAATTTTCTTAATTTAGAGGAGATAGATTATATTTGGACAGGTGATTCAGGCGATCCACCCAGAATAGGGGAGATTTTGCAGTTGGTCTACCTTTGGCTTAAGCACTGACTTAAAAGTAGACTTAGGTTTAGCTAATAAAGAAATTTTGAGTGAGGATGTATTATGGAGTTGTATTCTCCATACACTTATGATCTTAGCTTGGGGATTGGTCTGCCGTGTGTTACAGGTCCTTTTGATCATTTGATCCAAGTTCAGGGCTAGATCCAGTTTGATCCCTTGAGGATCACTTACTGTTATCACTGATAACAGGTCGGTTGCCGATTCGTCGGTCTACGACTCAATTCCAACTCTCCCTGTACACTCAACCTAAAAGACTTTAGCCCTGGTGATTTCGTTGTTTTATTAAGGTTTCACCCGGACTTTTATTGAATGACCATTTAACAAAGGTGCTGAGTATTTAATTAAGGTTGGTTGGACAGGAGGTTTGGGGTTTGCATGGCTAAAGCGAGGGGTATGAGTGTCGAAGGTGGTTGGGGTTGACTTCGTGTAGTGTGTGGGTTGTTGATTTGGTTCGTTGATGTGATGGCAGGTATGTGCTGTGAATCTGATTCTGGATTTGGTTGCCTACGATCACACATATACGTATTATTGTGAGAGACCCCAGCGAAACCATGAGAAGTGATCGTCACATACTTAACCCTTATAAATGTATACATGGGTATACTTGGGACGAATGTTTGCATGGGTTGAAGAGCCCCCACATTAGAGCCCCACTCAGAAGCTGAGATTGAGGGGCTTAGGGGAGGTCTCTCCTTTTATTCTTGTCTCTTGCTTTTTTTATGATTTTCTTAGTCGGACGTTTGGTCCTGGGCCGGGATTCGAGGTCCTTGTCCAGGACATTCCAAGCCCTAGACACTGCAGGGGAGGGGTTTTCCCTCGCGCAAAGCCTATTTGATTTACCTACCGAGACACTCAGGTCGAGAGCCTAAGGTGCAGCGGCGGCTGCACGACTAGTCTTTCAGCCGTGCAATGTCATGAAGGGTTAGGCCCTCACGACACTTCAAGTCTGACACTTGAGTGTCATAAGCGGTATTCGGATCCACGAGGGACCGCTTGATTATGGGCACTACATAGTACGCCATC